ATATGGGGAAGTGTTATCTAGGTTTCATACAGTAGCCTTAGGACTTAGATATTCCCAAGACTTGTCGTTTACAGAACATATATTAAAACAGACCTCTAAGTCTCAACGTCTAATAGGCTACATAACTCGAAACCTTTACAACAATGAGTCACGTATTCCAATGTACAAAGTTTGTGCTCGACCTCTTCTAGAATATTGCACGTTTATTCTTAGCAGTGCGCGCATAAAGGATAAATTAAGGCTGGAATCAGTACAGAGACGATTTACACTTCGTATTCTTGGAGTTGATTGTACCTTAACTTATAATTCTAGATGTAACAAACTTGGGCTAGACCCTTTATGGAGGAGGAGACTCAAATTAAATCTTATGTTTTTCTTCAAACTACTTCATAAACTATCGTTTGCATCCAATCACGTGATTCAATATGCAGAAACTTCTCATTATGACATTCGTAATTCCTTGGCACTAGTGAAACAAACTCATTCTAAATCATCTCTTTATATGAATTACTTCACCTGTAAATTTTCTAGACTCGAATAACCTACCACAATCTATCCGCACGATAAAATCACTCCCATTATTTGTTCGCTGCATCGATGCATACTGCTCCTCTGAAAATGCATTGAATGGTCTAGCACTTGCAAGTGTATCTCATTCCACAAGTGATATTTTAGGAACATTAAATGTTTAGCCATTCTTATTAATGAATTCCCTAAGTAAAACCACCTACTTGCTGTCACTTTATGTTAACACCGTCCCTAGCAAGTTTAACTAATTTGAATAACATCAACAGTATATCACATGTCACATGACACACGCATTTAGGTAGACCTGATTCATTTATTTTGGCAATTACCGCTTTGTTGTTTAGTGCTCTGTGTTTTCGTTTTAATTTCTCTAGTTGTAGATAATTATCATTAATTCGATCTGGCACACGAATTGACCTTAATTACTCCGTTAATAAATCAACAGGCTGTCCATTTAAGAAATATTAAAAATTACCGGCTGATGCATTGGATCGCTGTAATGTATGTACTACCTAAACAATTACTGAACTGGTTTACTTAAAACTTTCTTCTATCACATGTTTGTTCTGCACGTCTAATGTTACTATTTATATCAAACTGATCATGCCTGTAAACTGGCGTGAATTCTGTAATTATTATTTTCAGAATAAATTATTATTACTGGATTTGGAATTCGAAATCAAGTATTCAACAAGTACAAATGAATCATTATTTCATTCAAACACCATATCCGCCACAGCTTAAATTAGAGTCTAAGTGTCTGTAATCGATTGTACGTCTTCTTCTTAAGTTCATCCTTTGTCTGTCCGACATTGTACTGGATAAAAACTGTATTATCTAGAATGTGCTCATTAGTATTAGAATTAACAACCAAAATTGGAACAGACTCATCTGCTTCCTTGGATTGTGTAATCAGCATGTCGGTTGTGTACTGAAACCGCTGCTACCTAGAATTTGAACCATAGACTTTTAGACTATCTTCCCCCACGAAATAATATTGTATCTTTATATCCCCAAGTTATGAATAATAAGGCTTCCATTCTCACACTGGTTAGAGTAAACATTAGAAGTGACTTCGTGATAAGGATAAACAGCAGTTGATATGAAATCATCAGAATAGTAATCAAAATCGAGCTCATTTAGTACTTGTGCTTCGTATTGTACAAGTTTCCAAAGAGCAATAAATGCATTATGAGGACAAATAATATTTGATAGAACATCAAGATTTGATTCTTCTGAAATAGTTTCCTCCAATTTATTAAGAATGTCATTGCAGAGTAAAGGATCACTAGAAAAATCAGCATCTATCAAAACTACATCAGGTTTTTGATCATGACTAGGTTCATTTAAAATATTTTCATCAGATTGGCAAGGAATTTCGTCAGAAATAAGTGAATGATTGGGAAAAACCATATCTGGTACAATGACATGAGAAATGTGATAAGTTGATTGATTAGAAACTGTTGTCTCGCAAGAATTCTGAGTTTCACTTAACTCTGAACTACTATATGACTCTACACTGTTTTTTGAAATCGTTGATAAAGATAAATGATCGTTATAAATACTCAACTTAATCAGAATTACAGGACATAATATTAGTTGCAGTAAGATGAACAGTAGTATTACAAACTGACTGAATATGTCCAATATCACCACATTTAAAGCACTTAAATTACGAAATTTACATGAATTAAAAGAGTGGAACCTGCCACAGGACAAACGTTGAGCAAACTTGCGCCCATCTTCGTGAACTGCATCGCAACTCCTCGATGAATCATCTGCATAACCTTGAGTATGCACTGGGTTGGGGTGACGTAATGTAGTGGAATTTGTTACATCCTCATGAATCATTTTACGAAGTCTTCCTTTACCGCATTCGAACTTTGTTTACTTAACATAGTCTAGCATTAGATCCTTGAGAGCTATATAAGAAAGCGAAATGGGCTTTTCCGGTAAAGCCAGAGTTTTTAATAATCTATATGCTTCTTTTCCGATGAATGTGAGGAAATGTGCTACAATATTAACATCCTCATCATCTCCCTTGGCCGTGGGCCAGATTTCGAACCCTTCTAAGTAATCCTCAAAAGCATCAAAATCTGAATGTATATTCAACAATTCCATCACAGGCTCAATCGAGACGCCAATGTGATGATTAGGAGTATTTGAATTAAATGACGAAATAAGAATACCAGAAATAACGCAATTGGATCAAGAAGTACTAGATAAGCGCGAACGAATGTACTGCATTTGGAATTCGAAATCAAGTATTCAACAAGTACAAATGAATCATTAGTTCATTCAAACACCACAGCAGAATAACGAAAGCTAATACGTATAGATGGGGAAAAATTTGTACAAGTGCTAGATCTATGTTACTTAACGATTCATTTATGACCTTTACGAGGCCAGAGAAAACGTTCAGTGTCCAGGGGTCGGTTTCCTAATGTATGCGTGAGTTCAACTTGACTAATAATTTGCTTAGGGCCTAATGATGCTTCACTGACCCTTCGTGTTTTTAAAGTTTTTATAAACCTCAGACTTGTTGAGCTATCCTCAGTAATTAAGACGGCTTTTAGTAATTAACTAATGAAAAAATCAATATGACATTCAAAGAAGAATCGTAAAAATATCATTCTGAAATGAATAAATGGGCAAGTTGAGATATGAAATTTGTGTTAATAACTCTTGCAATGAACCCAATTTGGTGCCTCGGTGTTTCAGAGAACTTTGAACTTAATGTGATTTAATCAATAATGATGTTTCAATTTTTAATTGTTTGCTCTCCAGTTGCTTAAAAAGGTATCATTATAAAATGATTCAACAATCGTTTGTTAATTATTTGTAAATGATATATGTGTAGCATCCTTCATAATATACATGTATACGGACTTTTAAAATTATTATACACAGCATAAAATTAATAAATCACACATTTTTAACATTGAATTAACGTTATAATATAGCAATTAAAATTGCCTGGAATACACGGGACCTGATGGATCTGTAGGGGTCGTGTGTGGGCACTTCTGAAGAGTTCCATACTAGGATGAAAAAGTTGTCTAGTCGTCAATGGCTTTCACTGGGACCTCGCATAAGATTACTGCGTGATTAATCTCACCTAAAAACATATAGGTTTACGAACAATAACTAATAAATTAACGGTGATATTACGGTCTACTTTTAGTATTAAAGTGATTAAATAAACAAACTGCTAGAATATGGTTAAAAGCAATCTAAAGAAATGAAGGAAAATACTTATTGTATTTCGAATTTATATTTTAATCTAATTTTGTGACTAAATATCACTGTTATCACAGCCTTTTGAAGTTCATTAACGGCTTCTTAGGTTTAACATTAGTTGAAGACGAATGAGGAGAACTATATGTAACGTTTGAAGTTTTATACGAATGCATGCTGTTTGATTAATAGCACACCGGTTACGGAAAATGAAAAATAATTTATGTACAGAATAAACAAAGTAGACTTTAGGAAGTTCTTGAGAAGAAATATATATGCTGAGATGTTAGTTGTGAGCTTGAGAATGAGAAAAATATTCACTTAATCAACAGAATCTTACATATTATTCGTTTTAGTATTGTGTAAACGAACCGGAAAACGATTATCCCACCAAATACTTTAAAGTCTCCGTATTTATAGATAATTTTATGGTATGTTTACATGATTTAGTGGCTAAATATTACCCACACACAACGGCCTCATTTCTGCAACGTCAAAAAATTTGTAAAAAGACTATTATTTTAAACATATATTTGTTAGGATAAATAGGTAATAATAGTCTAAGGTGGTGTTATGCAATGAGTTTTATAATATCAAGGTAAGATAAGTCAATGAAAATTAGTTTTCAACATGTGATTACATTTATTTGTATCCATGATCCACTCATGTGTTAAACTGAATATGTATTGATGTTACACAACTATCTGGAAAATAACCAGTTCAAATGCCTGAGACTGACTTTTCAAAATAAAGAACTGGTTACAGACGACGGACAGCTATTGATTAAAAGGGTGCAAATACCTACTCCTGGTTTGTCCACATAAACACACAAGAATGAAATGTAGAAACTGATATTAACAGGCTAACAGATATTGATCATAAAAATAATTGTAACAACAATAATAATATTAATAATAGTATCAATGTTCCAAGTTCAAAAGTTAGCTTTTCAATTATAAGTATGAACTCAAATTCAGAAAATGAAAATGCGATGAAATAGTTGGGAAATGATATAAATGATTCAATTTGTTATAGAATATTTTATTATTTTTTTTAAAAAATGATTCAAGAAACGAAACAGATAGTATTTAATAAGATGTAACTAATTGAATTTTTATAGGAATATATCATATTAACCAGTGTATAATTAAGTTGTGTTTTGTTTCTTCAATAAGAATAAATAAAGTTCATTTAATTGAGATATGGTTGATGTATTACAGTAACGATCTCGGTGTTTAATCTGCCGACGAGATAACCGACAGTAATGAGCTTATTTCATCTGTATATAAATAAAGTAACGTGTTGGGTGGAAAAAAAAACAATAGAATAATCAAACAGTCAATTTATGCATATAAATTTAAAGAAATACTTAATTGGTTATAATTATTTGATAAATAACTTGTGTGGTAAGCGAATCATTTCATTAATTAAAATTATTCTTAATATAGTTTTGTTAGTAGTATTGCTTTGAAGAAATGTGTTGCACAAACGATGTTTTGATGTCTTTTTGTAAGCAATGATGGATAGTGGCTAGCAGTAAAATCCAGTACGCGTGTTTCGTCCAATTTGGCACTCGTCAGCTGGATGTACCTGCATCTCAGAGTTGATGTTCACTCTGGGACTCGAATGTCTTTTTATGTCTTTTTATTAGATAGCCATAAGAAAATATGTCACTGAAAGTGTATTGTCAGTTTATTCTTTATAATTAGGTGAAAATAGCTATTAGATTAGAATTTGGTGAGAATCATTATTTATTCAATTCCTGAATATTTTTAAACCATAAAAGTAATTTTCTAAACATTTATCTCATTTGATCTGTAAGTCACATAGTCAATGACTGACATAAGACAACAGCTAATGAGAGTGTAAACACATATAGAAACAATAGGGTCATTAAAACTGACTAAGTTGGGACTTGAAATATATTTATTAAATCCTTAATCGTACTTGAATTAGAGGTTGATGGCTCCGTGTAGAACGGCAAAGTAAACCACCACGCTTATAATTAATTTCAATGAAGCCATATTATTTTCGTCAACTGTAATATATGTCTCTGCTTACTTTTAGTTCAAATATAAAACTAAAATCCAAACAGGCATCATTTCAAAATCGAATCATATTAATGACAAACCAAAATATCATACCATCATTCAAATTGAATAGATCGGCTTGTTTTCTCAGGAATTCTTGTTTGATGGTTTCGTGCAAACTGAACACATTCATCGTCTGCAAATATGATCTGAATTTATTGTATTCAGAAAGTAGAGAATAGAACAATTATTTGATAATTGCTGTGTGTATTTAGTAACGACTATTAGATAACACATTATGAATAATATAATCACAAACGCTTTCCACATTATTCCTCATCCATTCTGTATAATTATTCAAGCAAGTATTAGAAACTGATTTGTGAAAATAAACAAAAATGTTGTTGAATTAGCTGAGAAATTTAATTTTTCAAATGGGGATAGGAATCGAAACTATTTTAACACCGAAAGAAAATATTTCAGTCGAGCTGTCCTCTTCCTTTAAAATAACTTAATAATAAAAAAAAGGAAATCATATTTTTAAAGATCGCAGCGTTTCAAATGAAGATGACTCCAATATCTCACTCGACAGTTCAGTCCGAGTACAATAGATTTTTACAAATCCAGTGTAGTTTTTGATGTTTTCTATTAACTCTGCACCCAAATGTTTGAAACTATCTTATCAACAGTAAGCTAGACATCAATATCACTAGACTGTGAAGTTGGGCAGATAATGACACATAGTATGGCGTAAAACTGTGGGTATGAGTTACTGACATTATCATACAGGACAAAATAACTGTCCCGTATTCACTCATTTTTTAATAGTTCCTTGGCTAAAATCTATCTATGGTGTTTACCGACTTAAAAGTAGTTCTCTTGTTTGAATAGTGCAAGTTTGTTGCTTAAGTTTCCCTATAATGTTTATTCCTTTGTTGCAAGAACTGTATATCTTCAAAATATTCAACGCCTAAATAATCAGATCATACAGATTTTATACACTGACAAATAAATTTTTATAAACAAATGTGACATCACTATTTACAACTATTTTTTAGATGTATGAAATCTAGTTGAATAAGTTATTCAAACTTAAATTCTCATCACTCAGAAACTAAATTTTGCAAGGCAGGCAATTATTTCAACTATATTTTGCTGTCTTCTCCTCTTTATGACCGTTTGTTAACAATATGAGTAAATTGTTCAATGTTTACCCTTTCACTGTATCTTTGTATTTAAAATCAGGATATTGGGATTTTTTAAATGTTTTCTTTAACTAGCACACACCAGCCAACGTTCATATACGATATTTATTCAAAATCGGATTTCTTATAATTTGAACTGTATGTGCATCATGTTAAACAGATATGCTCATTATCTGTCGTTTGTTATTTTGACATTGAATAGTCCACTCGAGAAAACGGCAATTTAAAAGAAATTCAGTAGGTCAACCTCTAAAAATCTTTTTTTCATTCGCAAATGATCGTTTATGCAAATATGTACGATAGCTAAACTAATCGAATGTAACACACAAAGTGCGTGCAATTTATTTACTGTAATTAAACAAACAATTGATTTCTTTTCACAAAACCTGCTCATTTTTGTGTATCTTTATTATATATAAGAATAATGAGAGAGATTTAAAGGAAAACCTGAACCTTAAATGACTGCAATATCTCCATCAGATTACTGATTTTACATTATGTCCATTTAGTTACAAGTTTTGACTTCGGTCACTGAACAACGTCTTCACCAGTTGTATGAATACCATTTCTTAATTTTACAAAATTTAATTTACTGGCACAAATTTGAATAGACTATTTGCATCGATTCATCAAATCAGTTTAATTTTGCGAGTTGAACTAGTTGGTGGTTACTAACAAGTAAGAAATAGAATGCAGATAAGTTCAGTCAAAGAAACGGATATGAAATTTAATGTAGATCCAGAATCCTTTCATTTTTATTAAAATTAGCTTTAAATAGTATACCAACAATATCGTCTACTCACTGTAAAAATGATAATAAAAAAATCTATACACTTTGACTTTTAAATGATATTAAGAAATTTTAAAAAAATTATATACTTACTTCAACTGATCGTATGTTGTCGAAGAAGATACTTTAGTTGAACTTGGAAAAACAAAACAAATGAGGTAGTGTTTAAAAACAATTTAGGATGTAAATTAAAACAAATCCTCATCACTTACTGACCCATATTGGTCTACTTGAAGTTAATGGACAAGGAAGTGGACTTTAATAATCTTGAATGTCAAGCATTCAGATACTTTTTCACGACTTGAAATATCTGCGGGGGAAATATGATTAAAGTGAATACGTTCAGTGTCAAAAGATGCAGAAAGTAATTATTGATGGACACATACTCGGCTTATGTTGATCAATGATAAAATTCATATTTTCTCGATGTGAAATTTTAATAAACAACTTTACTGAAGATTAAAACAAAAGTTAAATGGCTTAGTAGGATCTCGTTTTGAAACAAAAGAGAGAAATGAATTTTGTATAAGCTCTAAGAGTGCTAGATTTCAAACAATGGTAAACGGGTTACTAATCCTGTTTCCGATTAATAAGCAAGTGTTAACAAAATGTCAACTGGCAAGTTAGTAAGAAATTATTCAAGCGACAGATGAGAATTAAGGATTACTGTTGAGGTAAAAGGAAAGGAATGTAAGAGTTTTTGGTCGACACATTGTTTGATAACCATTTGGTTCTTCCTAACTAAACTATCCCTTTGATAAATTAACAATAGCCATAACGCCATTGACTTAGAAAAAGAAAAAGAAATACTGTAAACAGTTGTCTGTTCAAGAGCTCATATATGTCAGATTCAAACAAACGACTGGTGACATTCAATAACTCATCCTAAACAACTGTTTAATCAGTAAATAATGATCTCAATAATGATGGTAATCATAAGTATTCTGAGAATATAATTTTTTTCACTTAAACCATTCCATCTCTTATAAGTCTTTGAAGATTATAAATTTTGGGATTCTCTTTTAACATGGTCTGATTTGCGCGTTTCAGAGAGAATTAACCTCTCATTGATAATGATAGCGCTGACACACCTTGTATTCATAATCAAAGGGGATATATATATATGGCAATAATAATTGAAACTGTATAAATTTAATTAAAAAAAGATTTCGAACAGATTATTTCTAGTTCGGTCCAGAAACAATCACAAATCAATGAATACGCAACTGTGCAACAGGGAGCTGATAATGACTTTCGTAGAAATAAAATTCAAAATTTATTAACTCAAAAACGAGTGTGTTAGATGCTTTAACCAGCAATTGGTTTACCTAATTCATTTTGATGGACCGCTTGAATATAGTTACTTTAATCTTTAGATCTTAAAAATGATAGACTGTATTTCAATAATGTCAAACCACTTTTTGCTCTGAAAAGATAAAATAGTGTCATACTATAACATAATTAAGTTAAGGAATATGAGCTAAAGAAATTGAGGTTTACATTACGAGTAACAACTGAGTTTTTCTACGTTAAAAGTTGAACACAAATTAGTATAACAGAGCTCTAGCACTAATATTGTAATTATGAAGTAATTTACTCGCATGTGCATTTAAGTTTATTTCTCGTTATCATCAACATAGACATCAAGTTGTTCACCACATTACTCATTAATGAGTTAAGTAGTAACAACAACCCTGGCGGTATCCTAATGGTTATATTTTCCAACTTGAAACCAAACGACTGTAGGATTTACCCTTATTTATTCTAAACGAAATTTACAACTGAGGAACATCTGGAACTCAAAACAACTGTCTGTCAACCAACACCAAGATCAGGATTTTCAATACAAATGTCAAGACAGTTCTACTGTATGGGGGCAGAAACGTGGAGAACTACGAAAGCCATCGTCCAGAAGATACAGGTGTTCATTAACAGTTGTCTACGCAAAATACTTCAGATCCGTTGGCCGGACACTATTAGCAACAACATACTGTGGGAGAGAACAAACCATATCCCAGCGGAGGAAGAAATCAGGAAGAAGCGCTGGAAGTGGATAGGACACACATTGAGGAAAGCACCCAACTGCGTCCCAAGACAAGCCCTCACATGGAATCCTGAAGGCCAAAAGAAAAGAGGAAGACCAAAGAACACATTACGCCGGGAAATGGAAATAGACATGAGAGGAATGAACAAGAATTGGATGGAGCTAGAAAAGAAGGCCCAGGACAGAGTGGGTTGGAGAATGCTGGTCGGCGGCCTATGCTCCATTAGGAGTAACAGGCGTAAGTAAGTAAGTATTCTAAACGAAATCGATTTATTGTGTTAAATGTTGATAATTTGTGAATAGTTACAAAAAAGTTCGTATTCTGACTTTTATCAATTTATATACATAATGTATACACAAATGATTCACAGTTTGTTGAGAATAAATTTCAACAAAGGTAATCCAGCTAATCGGCTTAACTTTAGAATTGTATGTGTGATGATGAGCATCTCTCTGAACTAAGGTGGGATGGCTTTGTGAACTGATCTGCACTTGACTATCAGTAGGATCCTTTCTGGCTTTCACTGTTAAATTAAGTCCATCGAATGAACTGCACAATAATGTTGCCAGAATAAATTTGTCGTAATCGTACTCTATGAACTTTTAGTTTGACTGTTATCAGTCTACGTACTTGTATTGAATATTCTTAAGCACTAATTAAGATAGATGGGATGACTACAGAGTGTTCGACCGCCAAACCGAATAATGGCGATTTCGATCTTACGAAAAATGTGTAGCATATCTGTTGTCTATGTTGTAAATGTTATCAGTTCTTCTGATGTTAAATCGTGAAAACTTAATCTAGTCATACAAGACACAAAATGATCCGAATTGATTTTAATGACATCAGCATATAAAATATATTATACACAGAGCCCTACTAATTAAACATAAAACACAAGAATAGAGAAAATGCCAAACTATATCACGAGTTGTCTGTGTGTGACTGCAACGAAACGTGGAAAAAAATCTTTTAAAAAAATGCTCCAAACAAAAAATATACATGAGTTAATTGTTTGCCAGCAAACGTTTTTTCCTTAGAATATCACCCACGAGAAGTTAGATGTTATAAAAGTACTAGGACATTTATCTTCACCTTAGATTACTAGTCACCTGATTAGTTGAATATCAGTTCTGACTCTTTTTCTATTAAGTTAACTACATAGATCTGTTGATATTTGCTAAGATATAATTAATTTGGTCAATTAATTTCCGTCTACATACACTACGACTTTATTTCTATTCCATACTCATACATGTTTGAAAATAAATTAGATTTTAATTAAGATTCTGATGTATTTTAATTACTGGGCATTGATAAAGGTAAACACACACAAAATCTATTCAAAGAAAGAAAGATAGTCAGTAACACTAAAATAAATCAGTCTCTATCACGGTCAAGGACATTGTTACTTTAATTTTAGAAAATAAAGTCACATTTTTCAAAATATCTTGAAAGGAAACTTTTAGATGGAAGTTTCATATCTCTATAACTCCTAATTGTATAGTTAGTTTACTTAACTTATAATCAATATAGAACAAATACATTAAATCAATATAATCCGTTGAAAATACGTCAACTGTATAATATATATATATATATATATATATATATATATATATATATATATATATATATGCATGTAGGTACGCAAGTAGGTACATTGGAAGAAGATAGGTATTTGTTTGTAAGTTGTTTGTCAGAGTAGATAATAACTAATAGTTTGATTGAAATATTTTTACTAGTTCAGCCTTTTTTATCCTCTGGTTACTAAGCTACAGGCTATATTAAATGGGACCTTTACCAAACTAGTATTTGTTTTAAAGTGTTAGTGAGGCAAATTTTTTCAATAATAAAAACCTATAATGACGAAGAATTCACGGAATTAGACCAGACATTTCACCCTTAAGGGAACCTTACAGCGCATTTGGAATTTCGTATGTACACAGCAAATGTTTCGTATGATGACTACTTCAAACTAAATCGATTGCAATATACTATGTTGCTACTAGGATGAGTGCAATCGGAACTCGATACCTAGCAACTACATTTTGAAAACCAAGGGACGATGTCGTTCTCTTGCTAGAAACCATAATCTAGATGGATTTTTTACTAATTAGTAAATGGATGTTCAGACTGAGTTTAAAGAAGACTTACTACTTTCAAAGTTCCAGTTAGTGACAAATTCTATTGGCAGTTTGAATCACAGAGTTTGGTCGTATTTATTCTTTCTGATGAATTTAATATACAGAACATTAATATAGAACCATTAAGAAAACTCTTTCCAAATGTTTAACAATAATCAGTGAACGAGACATAATACTCAAATACCTAGAAAATTCGAAGTAAACTTTCAACAGAATGTTGAACTACGCTATCTTAATTTGTGATATTGAACAAATTTCTTTGATCGTATAAGAAGACTTAACAAGTAGTCTGTAACTTAAAACAATAGTGAATCACATTTGGCAGGCTTCTTATTGTTCTCAATGAAGTAGACACTTCAAGGTTATAGATTTCGAAATTTCGATACAACCCTGTTAGTATATAGGAAACTTATGTGTAATAAATACTGAGATATCTTTCTGTGAAAGTTTGATTACTGGCCAGAAGCAGTCACTAAATAGTCTTGAAATACTTTTATGTTAACTGCTGATATGTTACAACTTTTAGTATCTAAATTAAGAGCAGACATTTGAGCAATAATATACTAAGTAGACACTGTTACTTTATGAAACTAGAGAAACAAGTCTCATCTTTCCAAAGTATTCAGTGTAATATATAAATAATGAGGTTAATTAAAACCTCTATTAGATGAAAAACTATATCGTTTCATGCTTTCCAATTTTTATTCGTGAACTTGTGTACTATGACCATGAGCTAAATGATATAATTATGGTGTATATATTACTGGGTTTTGCAGTAATTTAAGAGCCGCTTGTAATAAAGGCCATAATAAATAATGAGTTTATTTTAATAAATGAACAATCAACCAAGCCAAAAAAATATTAGATACAACTAATTAATACCTGTTGAATTTTTTATTGAAGTAGTGAAATTACATAGGATTTGATCATCCATCGTAAAATTCAAATTAGACATAATTAAATGTTATACGACTTACTCATATGATGATTCCTCTGCCTTTGAACGTGCCTCCTGTAAAGATTGGAAAAAGCAGGCATTCCAAAACCTTAAAGATTGCCAAATTGGTTGACTTTTGATATACACGAAAATAAAGGTTCGGTCCGTAGATACCGATGGATCTATGGGTTATCACAAAAAACCAATATATGAAATGACTTGAAATATAACAAGCTATGTCGTTTGACATTACATCTAATTAGTTCAAGGTTGAATTAATGAAGTCAATCAATAAGCTCTGTTGAATGTTTCACGGTAATACCAATAAATATAAATCGGAATGCATAGAAAATCAAACTATCTCAATAAAAAATGATACAAAACGTCAGCAGTATATCGAAAACTTACCATAAGTATAAAACTTCAGTGATATAGAGAGAAGTTTCTTAGCTGGTTGAAAGTCTTCAGCGTTTTGACATTCCACAAGTAATAAACTTATTTGATCGAGTAGTTTTGATAATGCTTGTAAATCAACCAAACCTTGTGTACGACGAGACTGATGTTAGTGAAAAGAAATAATAATAAGTGAAAAAGTATATCAAGTGTCGATTTAAAACCAAACCAAAAATATTTAATAACCTTTCATAAATGCTGGTCAAATTATGATGAATGAATCAAGTACGGTAAATATTTAAACAAAGTTATTTACCTGATATTTGGTCTCGTTAAACATAATTAAAATTGGGAAGTTACTCGATTTGAAGGAGTATTAAGCATGTTTTCAGTTTTAGAACATTCTCAATCTGAATCTTCACAAGTATAATATATTTTTCCATAGAAAGTTATCACAGACAACCATGGAAACTCATCACAAATTTGGGTGTTTAATAACAATTTTTACTCTTGTTTACAAATGTACGATCGGTTATCATTTAGCAATTACTTAATGCACATATTTCAGTGTTATATAGACAAAGAAAACTTTTGTTACAGACTGATATTAGCAACAGAATTTTTGAAAGTAGTGAGAATTAGACACATCTTTTGTCCTAGCTTGGTGCCCCTCTAGATTGGTCACCCACCATCCTAAACACCACCATACCAAGGAATTTCAACTCTGTATGTAAGTTCAATAACTTTCGACACCAACTGGAATTCAACATTTTAGATGTAAAACTCCACTCAGTTTATCACATATTTAGGTGACTATGTGCCTTATTTAATTACTGTCCTATTCAACATAAGATAGAACATTTCAAATTGAACTAATGTTTACAAGCTATCCATTTAGGTGTGGATAAATTCTGCATATATTTGAATATGTTAGGCATGAAATTATCAGTATTTTATCTCCATAAAGTTTAAACAAATGTTAGTATGCAAAATATACTTCATTGACTGCCTACTGTATTCCTTATCGCTTTTACCACAAATATAATCAAAAACTGAAAAGAGAAAATATTATTTACGAAAGAACTCCACCAACAAAATATAAAAAAAACAATAACAATTTTGATGAAATTATCCACTTGTGGAATAATCCCAATAAAGAATGCAGGGAATGAATTAGATTCTAACTAGTGAATCGTTTTGTTTTGTTATTATCATCCACACAATTAAAATAATATGTCACTCTTATAATAAGAAAATACAAAAAAAGTGTTAATAGTAAGAACAACAATTTTCATAATTCGATAATAAAACAAAAATAAATGAAAAAGAATAAATAATTTACTCAATTTGTTGTCTTCTATTTTCATTATTTATTAAAATTATACTTTCCTCCCAAATATAATTTTGCGTTCGATAGATTGTTGTTGTTTTGTTCATACTTTTACTTGAGTATTAAATATAATGTAATTAAATAACTTAATAACAAGTTAGATTGTAACTCTTTGAACTTTAGATGAAAACTGATAGAAAGATTTTAAATAAAATTCAGTCTTTATTGACACAGTTTCATCAAACATATTACATAGTTCAAAACTGCAGTTTGAAGTACCATCAAGAATATACCCGTCTCGAGCAGAGTGTATTAATCACTCAAAATAGTAGTATAGGTTAACTAGAACCACAATGCTTATAACTAAGACTTAAAATAGGACCATAAAAATATCATTGTTATACAAAGTATCTAGTCCAAATTATCCAGTGATGAGAGCATAGAAATAAAGTAGAAAGTTGAATTACAGTTGATCACTCTTCTGAATTTCGAAGACGCCCAATCAGGTCATTAGATTTTAATATGGTCTACATTTGAAAATTCTTTCCTTAAAAAACGTCAAATAGTTTAGTCAGTGGTAATCCATTATCACTAAGGCATGGAAGTACCATCAAATGATCCTAATCATCTCCAGTAGTTTGATCGGATGGATACGGAGTTGCATTTAAATGGTTATTAAGATAGTTCTAAGTTTAGATTGACTAACAACTAATATGAAGATAGGATGACAAAGAATTTATTCATCCCATTTTCACTAAGGTTTAACTACAGTCGAAAAAAGAACTTACATTAATGTATATTAAAAATATCATCTTCACGTCATTCAGGATATGATCAAGTTGAGAGAAACTGAAATTACTACCATTAGAACCCACGATTACCTATACTATTAAGAATATATCCTCTGTGTAGTTTGCTCCATAGTGCTTTAGTGAAAAGCTTGTGAAAAATATCTCTAAACAGAATATTGATCAACACTAGTTGAAATCTTAAAAGAGCATATTTAGTTTTTTAAGTTGAATGTAAAGCATTTCGTTAAGTGGTAAAAATACTTAAAATTTGACCACTGAACTAACTTCTCTTTTACTACACCACAAAATCAGGTAACTATTTCAACATTTACTATCAATATATGTACTCATATGGACGACAAATTTATAATGGTTAGAAATACTTGATATTTACCTAATTAAACGAGATGTATCTGAAAATGAATTCATTTCTCATAGAATAAAGTTTAGATTTTACTCATTTTTATATAGAAAATGGGAACAATAAATTGGATGATAGTCTTTTATACATAACAGTAGCCTTTATATGCTGTATCATTCAAATGAGAGTCGAAAAATAAAATGAAAATACCAACTAAATTCATTCAACTTTTTGATCAACTCACCTCTTGTTCTAGCGCATTAACAAATGCAATTCTCCCAGCTGGCGTCTATCCATAAATAGATGCGTAGAAGTATGAAAATAATGGTGAAAGGAACAAAGTGGTCAGAAATTAATTAGAAGTAATATCAGTTTTATGGAAATATTATTATAAATAACTTGGCAAATGTAACATACTCCTGAACATCAAGGGCAAAAAACATTGTTTGAAAACTAATTTATTGCAATTATTCCCATAAAATAAGCATTTAATTAATATAAAGCGACAGAAATTAAGCCAGGAGATTGTAAATATTGGTTTCTTAACACAGAAAAAGTGCTATTATTATGTATCACAGTGTCAAATGTTCAAAACTTTGATAACACTACTGGAAGTTCCTTCATATACCATATGTTCTGTGCTGTTAAAGCTTAGGCTACTATACGGTTTTTTCGACCAAGTAAGGTAGAATTAGATTTGACCACAAAGACAAAGAGAAACCTATTATATGTTATTTATTTTAATTAGCTGTTCTACATGAAGGATTTTCATATGATATATGACAGTCATATCAAGTCAGTCCTTAAAAGTTACTGTGTTAAAATGTCAATCACGTTTTATTTGCATAATAAGTAGTTAAATTTACATAATATGGAATAACACTATTATGATACCCAAACATTTCAATGCAACAATATAGACTGCTGAATCGAAACTAGGTGGGAAATTATAAACAGACAAGGTAGAGAAATTTTATTACCTTTATGGAATAATTAAAATATTGTTCACTTAATTTTTCAAAAGTACTAGACACCGTGACATTCACATACCGGTTTTGTATTAATAAAGTCACCGATTGGTGATATAATTTTACTAATCAGTTTATCAGGGAAAAATAGGAAGAAAAAAAAGTAACTTTGGGTCACTGGTTTTAAACATAAAAGATCATATTCTTTTACTTTGAGTTAAGATTTTTAATACAAAGCTTCACAATACATGTACATTGATCAACTGAAAGTCAATGGAAATAAAATCGGCAGGAATTGCATTAACAACGAAATTTTTGTTTCGGAAGTCAACTTTTCTTCAATGCTGTAATGTTATTTTGATATCCGATAAAAATTAAGTTACGATGGTAAAATTTGTGAAGGAGAAGATTGTTCTAGTTGGGAAATTTAGTATAAAACTGATAAATGAATTATGTAATTATGAAGTGAACATATTTAATGATTGACAGTTTAATTAAAATGGACATAAATTACGAGAACAGAAAAATTAGTCGGTGTTGTTGCTATGATAAGACGAAGACATGTATACTGTCTCTGTAACTTAATATCAGGTTGAAAGTTATGAATGTGAAATGTTCCTGCTATGTATGACATGGTGAGGTTGCCAGTGATGATATGAGCAACATACCACCACGTTTTTTTACAAATAATGGTAACAATGGGATAAACTCTGAATAATCTTTTTTTATGTATGACAACAATTCTGTAACGAGTGCACGAGGGAAACACTTGTATCAGCTTCCATTTTATAGAGCTCAAAGATAGTTCCAAATGAATAAACTAAGATATTTTTAAAATATTAACAAAGCGCACAGATCGAGTTGATATTTCTCAAAAATGTGTAATCGTACAGACTACTTAACAAAGCTTACAATCACTTTCCGAAAAGAAACTCTTCGTTCATCACTGAAACTGTAGTCTGTCTGGTTAAACTACTACTTAGTAATAGAGTATATTGAATATATATATGTTGTATTTAAAACTTAATCTTGGATATTTCCGTGTCCCCAAGATAGATGATCATTTATCAGTAATCGAAACAATTTATTCCTCTTAGTTGCATCAATCCTGACACGTATATCAGACAAACATCAAAATAGAAAAATGTTCAGTATTCACGCTCTTCCATCTGAAAGGCCTGTACAGAAAAAGCATATTACATGGATAATAATCACGTACAAATTTATACTTTACTAACTCGATTTTTCAAGATAAGTCGATTTTCAATAGACTAATTGCTGTCATTTCAAAAGTTCCTAATATAACCAATATAAGTGACCTGACAATGGTAGTTTGTGTGAATCCAGTTCCATCTCTCTGTTTCACTTATTCAGACCAAATGATATCACAAATAATCCCTGTTATAAATTTTGTGCATAGTTTTTTTAAAAAGGAGAAAGAAAGAAATTACCCAAAATAGTTAACTTACAATCAATAGTTCTTGTAATTCATTTTCTTTACTCTTTAAATAATCCGATCTAAATGTATAAAACAAGAGAAAAGTATAAAGGATTAACCATCGAACAGTTTGTCTCAAAATGATTTGGATTATAAAATGAGTTCTTATAAAGTAACAGTATTAAGAAATAAATTACAGTAGATAGTTTATTTCATATCACAATCAGTGAAGAAAGTGTAAATCGGTAAATAATTTTAATAAAGAATCTTTTAGTAAGGTGATGTATTTCAGGCAAGTCATTTTAAAAACGAATACAATTTTCTTAACTTGATAACCCACTGGAACTATTACTTAGTTTCGTCAGAAACCAAGCAATTTCATTTCATGATTTTAAATAGTTTTTCAGAGTATTTTAAACATGAAGACAGCATTCATCATGAACTGACATCATCTGACATTAATAAAAACTAAGATGAACTATTAAATTGGCTCAGATTATTTCATTACTTCCTAGAAAGTTGTGCCTTAGGATATGGAATCGATCTTAAGATCTATAGCTTTAGCTGCTACCACAATACATTTGGACCATTCAGTTGAAATCCAATCTTTCCCACTTCTAACCTTTATGTAGTGAGGTCATCATCAAGCGTTGTGAATGATAACTCTCATGATTGAATTCTTTTAGTTACGACTTATTACTAAAACTTCGTAAATTAGACTCAAAGCTAGTTACGGGTGAACATAGAACTACTACTTAGTTGGATACTATTAAGTTACCAAGATACATTAATTTCATATACATATGTGAACCATTAAGAACTTGGTCATCAGAATCGCTACACTTAGGCAAAATAAAACTCTTAAGACAAACGGAGAGTTATGATGATGAATTATTATTGATTTGATTCAATAAAATGTTGATTAACCTTATTAAATCAATTCGATGGAATAAAAATTTCATTTATTCAGACTTTTAAAAAAGACATAACTTAGAGTACCTTTGAACACTGAGTTAAATAAACTTACAAGCTGTTATTCTGTCTAACTCTATTAAGATATTTAGCTCGAAAAAGTTAAATTCCTTTAAGTCTATCGAAAGTCTGTAAACTAATTTACAAAATCCTATGCTGAAAAAAACACATTTAAATATGCCAACGAAAGGGAAAATAATCAATATTGTTTTTAGCGGAGGACAGAAACTACTACTAGTTTTTTCATTATCACAGTAATCAAATTATGAAGCATCCTTTTATATTTGATCAAAGAGCTCTTTCTATCTCATCATAGTCATACTAGTTCTAAGTACGGTATGGAATATTTCAACAGCATCTTTTGTCTAATACGTGGATAACGTGATAATTTTCTGACCATCAGTCAAAAACAATAAATGACGCTGCTTTATATTAGGTAGGAGTTAAGTATGGCTTGTTAGAAAATATCTTCGTTCACAATTCTTTATCATACTACTTTACAAAAGTCTTTTGTTTTAGGAAAGTAAGTTACATGTGAAATCAATATCCACAGTACCTTGTTTTGTATAATTACTACTGACTGGCCATGACATCACAATTTTAACATTGATGTATACGTGTAGTACACAATAACTTCCTCCATTCTTTTGTAAACAAGAGAGTTACCACATTAAATAAATAAATTTCTTCTTATGCAGTCATTGTATAGGTTATTTAAAGTAAAGCTTTTTCATAGAACATGAATTTTTTATATGTTCAGTTCATTAAAATTCTAAAGTGAGATGCTGGAAATTAAGGTAACTTTCTTCATTAAACTACAAAACATTACAACATTAAGCTTTTTGAATCACGTCATTTTGAGCTAGGTTTTGATAACTCGTACTTTTTCCCTAAGCGACTCTAATCTCTTAAAACTAAGGGGATATTCAAGTGCGAATATTTTTGTTAAGATAAGACTATCAGGGGTAACTTATATTGAATTAATTAAGAAACGCGTTTGTAGCTGAGATAAGATGAATGCTAAAGGCATATATTTTTCAGTGACAAATTATATCGACCATAAAGTATGAGTCTGTTAGAAATAGTATAAAAAGCTGTTTGTTTTGTCTAACATAATTCTAAATCCGTACTAATAATTTTTGAAAACGAATGACACCTAACTAGATTAGCTATATGGTTAAATATTATTTAGGATTCCAAATTGTTAATCAATTGTTTTAAGACCATAAATGTACATTACCCTTGTATCATTTTAAACTTACCGGCCTATTATCAAAGCTGATGTATATAAATCCATAAATTCTTGAATTTTTTCTATACTAGGTGTGTTTGGCACAGTTGTACATGGAGGAGCAAATGTTTTATCTTCTGTTGATATATTTTGAGTTTCATATGAATTCGTTGTAGAACTAGTTTGACCGCTTGCGGTAAGTATTAAGTCTCTTTCCTGTTTATAAATTGGCTGATCACCATTTTCACCATATTCTGATGCTGAACTGTTTTCCTCCTCCTCAATTACAGATGCGCTAGGTTGCTGTAGTACACGTGGTTCATCTATTAATTTAAACGGTTGGCCGCGATCCTTTGAAGGATATTTTAATTTTTGATCAACTGGCTGCTCATCTGTTAACTGATTTCTGTCTTCTTGGAATGAAGATGATTTCATTTGTGCAGAAAGATTTGTTTCATCCAAGCTCATAGCTCTACTCAAAGCTGCACTACTTGGAGGGGGTGGTCTAGGTGGACGTGGAGTATTTTGTGTACTTTGTCGTCTCAATGCACTACCACTTGGTGTTAAGTGGGATTCTTCAGATCTTTGTGAATCACAACTTGGTGAATAATGAACATAACCTGTAGACTTTTCTGTCTGTGATTTATCCAAATCCACTATAGATCTATTATTAAAAGGTGCCTGTGAAGAAAGATTTGTAGTCGAATCCCTGACATCTTGATCAAAATAGGACATCCTAGGAATATTTTCTATAATATCATCTTTCTGAGTCTCATCTTTACTATCTGATCGATTCACAGAAGATCCACGTACAACATGTTCCAGTTTACCAACCGAAACTTGTTTAATCGAATCGAGTTTGCCACTGATATCTAATTTCTGATTTAAATCTGATACTAGATGACCTGTTTTTGCATTTACACTTTCGAATATTCGACTTGGTGATGTGAAAAATGAATTCATCCCAGGTGGATCATTACCTTCAGGAGCTGATGAGTCCGTATGAACCTTTTCACTGTCGAATGATATGCGTCTCAAGAAATTCCCAAAGCTCATAATTCTTACGTAATTTTTAAACAATGAGATTTGATGTAATGACAAATAAGTCTAAAACAAATAAAGTTTATTGATTCACGTTACGATAATGATATAAATCAAAGTCTTGGACTGTTTACCAAACCCAGCTATATTTCTACGTGAGATGACTTGTTCTAGTAACCAATTAAATTAATCCAGTCAAGGTCAAATTTCCATCCCATTCTCTTAAGTTTGAGTAGAAATCAATTAGTGAATGGCAAATATTTTGCTCCCTTTATAGACTGAACGACAGAAATGCTAAATAAGAAATAATTTCTCCCCTTTCTCAATCGATACACGAGATAGTTTAAACGTACGGAAGAGATTTCCTTTTCGTCTGTCCTTTATTCAAGAAAAATTTTGCAGCTCATGCTCATATCTTTTCACTCACTTTGAAAGACTGAACTGCTGCAGATACGACTTTTCATTCTTCACCCAGATATCCTTTAGCAATGTAATAAAACATACCCATGTAAATAATAGCTATCATCATTCCAACATTAAGACGCTAGCACAATAAGTAAATATCCTGTTTAAATCCTAAGGAAATAATTGAATTGCTGGATTATGTATACAGTTCATTTTTTTAATGAATCAAAATCATACTCAAGTAATGCTTATTTAATGAGGTGTTTGGCATGGATACCGCAATTTTATTAATCTATAAGAAATAAACATGAAATAGAATGTCATCTTACAATTTTGGTAGACTGTAACAGAAAATTATAAATCAGTCGACGGTACCATCATTTCTGTACAAAATACACAGTATAGTGATGTTGTATTAATTTTCCAGTGTTTTCTTTTTCAAACTAGTCCAATAGTCGATCATTTGAATTAAAATTGTATATATCATTCTTCATTTCGCCATATAAAGTAAAATTATGTCTTTCAGATCAACCAAATGAGGTAGAGATAAATACAATTGCGGTAGGAGTTTCGATCCAAGGACGAAACAGTTACATAGTGTTTCTCATTCCAACCTAGATCGATTCATAAAATTAATAACCTTCGATAATGTCCTGTTTTCACCAGTATCTTATTTCAAGAAGTAATTCTGGAAATCCAGGGAGAAACAGTGACCAATGTGGTCCGAACATGTCGGGCATGAGGCGGCTACTCACCCACAGTTTAGAGGGATGTTTGAGCAATATTGCGAATTGATTGAAGTTAAGTATATAAATCGCTAAATTCTGGGTCACTGGTCTAGAGGTTAAACACACATGGAACTGGAATTCCTAGGTTCGATTTCCTGTGGTGGGGTCGTGACGTGCACTACTGAGGAGTAACATACTAGGACGAAACATCTGCCCGATGATTTTCGGTTCTCATTGGATATCTAACTTAGGTCAGTTTGTGATATCAATAACAATCAGTAAATGTTTGTCATAAAGTAATTAATACTGAGTTCAGCTAAGCTTTCGTAACTATTCTACCGGAAATTATTTTTCATACTTTTACTGTATAATTATTAAATACCCGGATTATTGTGTGTTTGTATTCCCTTAGTTGAAAGCTCTCGTGTGATACATAAATACATGCTGAATGTTTTACTCTTCTTGAGTTGGTGTTAACCAATTGCGAACCTATCATTTTATTCTCTTCAACTTATAGTATAAAGGTACCAATGTTGCAGTTCCTTTTTTATAATGATGTGTGATAAAGAATTCACTCTATTTTATCGTATTAGTTGTGTCATAAAATTGAATCGCACAATGAAAAAATTATCTACTATCTGCGTTGTATTCCGTCCTGGCCAGCGAGCACATAAGGACTGAATTCTTGAACAATAGTCATTTAGTATTGACCTCAACTCTTATCTCACTATCATTTTGTCAGTGATTAACAGAAGGTCACTTGTTTTATATCCTGAAAGATATCTTGACGAAGTAATCAGTGCCTGAATTAGATCTCATAACTGTTCTTATAACTACGGTTTGACCTACAAGCATCAATACAATGCAAGTAATCTGTTCTTTTTAGTGTCATATCATTATTTTTCATAAGTTTGCAGATATACATTGTTCAGACGTAATTAAAATCATTACTTGTAATCCTGAACTCGATCTGATTTTACTTTTTAAGATCTGAATCAATAAATGTATTATTTTATTCGTTTATCAGATCAATAAAAAAAGAAGTAATATTTGGTTTTAATTAGAGAAGGGTTTTGTGGATATTATAATAATTTCAAGGTCGAGATCATGTGTGAATTGAAGCTAAACCACCATGGAAAGCATGGAATCAGTGGACGGTCGTTTAGTCTTATTGTGGGACTCCTCAGCAGTGCGCATCCACGACCTCGCCTGGGTTCGAATCCCACGAAACGGCCGTCCACTGATTCCATGCTTTCCATGGTGGTTTAGCTTCAATTCACCCATGATCTCAACCATTAAAATTATTGGATTGATGGGTACTTCCACATAGAAGACGAACTAAAATCATACTTGGCACTGAAGGCTCTACAAGCTGGTCAGTGAATTTTTTGGTGTGTCAAAATATATAGTTACTGTTAAGTTTGTTTTACATCGTTTTTACTCCTCGTTTAGTTTTTTGCATATTGTCTTATACTACTTATTTATATTCAGTAAAAAAATACATGCTGTCATGTAATATTCTGAAATATTTACTTATACTTATAACGTTTATTGTACTTATGATTGTATTCATCATTACAGTTACTTTGCCTTAAACACTGTAGCGGTTATCTTCAGTTTTGTGCATTTGTTTAAACGCAACAGTTTTAATATTTTTTTGCTCTTCGTTCAGGTTTTGGTTGTTGGTAAAGTGTTATCAACTTTACACACTGCTATCAGCTGTCCTTTGTACCATCGTATGTTGCAATTATTCTTTACGCTAGTGTTACAAAAAGCGTTTTTATTTCATACAAAAGGACGCGTTTAAACGCCTGAGACACCTCACAAGTTGAGGTTTGTAACTAATTTTTGTGTATTGTTCAATAAACAACCGCTATTGTAGACAAATCGTTGTTTTGAGAACTTCGATTTTGAGCATATCTCAATCGGGTGACCTGGACGCTTCAAAAGATCTAACAGTCACTTTGGCAGTCGTAATTTACTGAAGTAAATTTGGTACATTAAAAAGTATGATTTATTTGGGAAGAAACAAACCGTATAATTTAAAAATTTTGTGGAGATAAAATGTTCGATATGTCAGCATTACGACATGAGATTTTGATCAATTTAAGGAAATAAATTAGGATATTAGCATTAATTAATGAATATTTTTGGTCAATTCAAAACAGCTTTTCATTTTCGAGTCTTATTTTTCCACAATTCTTTGATGACAGGAGTTAATTAAGTATAAGGGAAGTAAAGTAATTAATGCACAAATGAATCCTAGTATCGCTTTCATGTTTTGCTGATTTTGTTGATATGTAGTCTTCTGAACTAACCTTCTCGCCTAATAATAATAACTTTATTCAGTGTTGCATGTCTAGTACAGCAAGTTATTCCATTGTCTCTACTGTCCCACAAGGTTAGATAAGTCGTTTTTATCAAATCAATAGGTTTTAGAGATGATTTTGAAAAATAAATTATGACAAATAAGGAGGAAAAATGAAATCAAAGTAACTAATAAGCGATGACGACAGACCACTGCGAGACGAACTTTGGTGTTTGTGTAGTGACTTATTTTTATCACGAGAACACTATTGGTTTAATGAAAACAATTATTATTATAACCAACTGTACCAGTGACTGTTTAATGTGCTCTTTGTTTAACTGTGCTAAAAACACCTATTATACTTACTCCGATTGTGACCTCGCGCGAATATGGTTACGCTCAGTAACCAAGCTTGTATCCTGGAACGATCTCGGTATTCTTTCGATACCACGAGATCGCCAGCAAATATATCTCGATATGGTCCAATAACTGCCTTTGGATATTTGGATTCCGGGGGATTTTATGGATGTCCTGGCACGCGTTACTTTGTAGTGGTGTTCATAGTCAAATTCGACTCGATTCCACCCTACATTTGTATGAACTAATGATTCGTTTGTACTTGGTGCCTGCCTGGTTTTGAATTCTAAATACAATGAGTTCGTTTGTGCTCATCTAGTTGTACGTGGTCTTGTAGCGGTAAATAAATCCCCAAAATAAATAGCCCTGTAAGTTTTCGACATTGGATGCTGACCAGATTAGTTTTAGTGGACTCATCTAGCTGAAGGCGCTCGGTCAGGCATCCGTACCAGATTACGTATGGTAACGCTGTGCTCAACATCAACCGCAATCGCTAGCCAGATTAGATCAGAGAATTCCGATATATTGGTAATCGCCAAATACACTCTTCCGATCTCCTCGACTCTATCTTTTGATTTCTCTCGGTCGGTACAAATTATATTAGGTGTTGCTGGTAGAAGCGTTTTCAAACACTGAATACCTGTGTCATCTTCAATGGTGAGACCGACGTGACCTGGTACACCTGATTGCAACTGTGAGTCTGTTCCTTTTTGAGATTTTTATATATCACTGCCTTATTTTTTTATTTTTCAAACATTGTGATTTTTTCGTGTTTTTTTCTTGGATATATATATATTTGCCCCTCGTTCATTATCGTACTTCATATTTCATCATGACTGAACAGACACCCAAAGTACTCAAGCTTAAGACCTTGTCCCCAACTTCGTTTCAACTGATGCCTTTCTGGCCCGACAATATCGAAGCCTGGTTTTGCTACGCAGAAGCCGACTTCTCTGAGCACGGCGTGATCGACACATGTGCACAATTCCTCGCAGTAGTCAAGGCACTACCGCGCGAATTCAACAGGTACGTAACACCTAGTATGTTTACTAGTGATGTTTCTGAACCTGACGAAACCTTAAAACGTTCGATTCTTAAACGAGGAGACCTAACCGATCGACAAAGGTTAGATCAACTGTTTAATAACATAGACCTGCAGCACGGTTCTGCGACGGGCATGTTGCAAAGGATGAGAGAGGTTACAGGCCCAAGAACTT